CTTGATAGTCAATTCTACTTTCGTAATCTTGGGGTTGTTGAACTTCTCGGTATCTCTTGCAATTGCTTCAGAGGTGTCCTCGAACAACATTAAAATACCCTTCAACGATCTTGCTGGGACATTTAGATTGATATTCCACGTTGTATCTCTTTTGTTCCTGGTGATCTTTCGGTGTCGAAGCACGCGATCGTACAAAATGGCTAAACTTCCGGTATACTGGTTACGAATTTGTCTGGCTTATTCAGGATCTGTTATCATATCATACTCCAGTGAGATATTTTCAATAGAATAGCTACTAGGATCTTCAGTAGCTTTGATTACTCTGCTGTAGTCATTTAAAGTGAGTTTGTATTCTAACCTATCGCCTAGGGATGTTTGATAGAAGGGCATGTGACTTTCTAGTAATTCAAAGTCTAGCGGAATATAGAATCGGTTAACTAATGCATCAGCAACAGTCTTATCTCCTACGAGGGTATTATCACCACTATCAGCACCTACACACAGTCTCAATGTGTTCTGATTACAAATACCTTGGTATTGTAAGTTTTCCCGTTCTTTAGCCGTTCTCCAGAGATCCATGTAACAGAAATATACATTGCTGTAGTCAATACTCAAAACTTCATTACTGCTAATTTTAATCACGATTTTCTTAACAATCACACGACCTATGTTCTGAACAAGCTCTCTGCTAGCATCGGTAGAATTCAAACTAATAGTAAATGATAGTCGTGCAGTTCCCAGAACTAACACACTGTGCGCCGAGATTAGGAAAGCGAACCAGAAGTGTTTGATTCTGATCAATGGTATTGGGTTATTAGTTATAGTTAAAGATTGACAAATTGCTTTGACCCCTAATGGTACGTTGTGGGTTTAACTTGCGTCCGTATTGCGAAGACATTGTTTATATTGAAATCATGTAACCTTATTTTTAAGATAAAAATGGATGATATTAATCTAGATAACATAACTGATACTAGTACAATCGAAGAGGGTACTGATGAAACCAGCTTTACGAATCTTAACAATGAACCTTTGAAATCAGCTGTTAATGATTATTACGATGCCTTAAAAGAAATAGGTCGTGACTATTCAAAGTTTATGATAGATAGTAAAGGAATATTGCGAATGAGTGGCTCTCCGGATATTGATCTTATGAATTCTCGTACTCGTAAGCCCCTAGCCTTGTCTACGATAGCCAGTAAACATGGCATCAACTTTGTTCGTAATGAAAAGGTTCTTCAGACTGTGCGTACTGAACTCGGTAAGATAGATAATTTGGAAGAAAGCTCGAAGCGGGCCTCAGATGGACTCGGAGAAATCTTGGATACCTACTACGATAATTACACGTTACAAGTACCATCCTCGGAGTTCAGTATTAGGGAATTACGAGGCTTTGACAAGGCAATGCAAACAATGCAGGGAGAACTTATCAATAATATAGCCAGGCTATCCGAACTCGACAAGCACATAGCTCATGAGAAAACAAAACTTGAACAGGCGGGGGATGAATTCAGTAGACGCCGCGTTGCAGAAAGATTGCGTAACTTAGAAGACGAAAGATCGGCCCGTCTCAAAGCTGCTTCAAGTAATAGAAAGGCACTTCATTCACAAATCAGTCGAATTCGAGAAACTATCGATCAAGTCCTCAACCATGATACTACACTGGCGGATAAAATTAAAACATTGTTCAGAGAACAGGGGATAATCATTGCCAGTATTTTAACCGCATTGGGATTTATTATATCGACTTTGACTTTCGCATTAGCCGGTGGTGGTGGTACAGGAGGTGGCACACCGCCTAGTGATAGGGCTGGTGTAAAAGAGTGGATAAAAAAGCATTTAAAAGCATTAGGAGAAGCACTGGGAAAGCTTGCTGGGAAAGCCGCGTCTGCACTTCCCGGTATAATAGGGAGTATTGTTTCCTGGCTCTTGAATTTATTAGCAAAGACCACCACTTGGCTTAGTCAAAACTTGTGGGCACTGATCGTAGCAATTGCTGGGCTGTTGTACGTATCCGCTCAAGACCATAATCCAAATCAGTTCATTAAGAACTATTTATCCAAATCATGAGTAAACCAGCCGCGACTCCACCTACTATAAGCGCTGTTTTTTCATCGATATGTTGTTGATTTTTAGCTTCAATATGTGGTCACACTTGTGGTTGTGCATTAGTAGGAGCATCAGTAGATATCTGTGGCTTGACTATTCCCGTTTCGCCTGTGTTTGTTTGCGTTAATAATTCGGTGTTAATATCTGAATTTATACCGTATTTTCTTGAGTATAGTGCGCACCCATGTATAATGCGCACCCCCCTCTAGCGGGTTCAATATTTTGGAAAAAAAAGAAATTTGAATATTATGCGCAGAAATTTTTTACACCGTACCCTTTCAGCGAAGTCCGGCAAACGAACGGGCGCTGAGAAACTTCGTCAGTCCAAATTCGAAATTTGAGATAAAAAATCACCAGACATGTTTATTTACCGTTTAAATAGTATTTATTCTTCTGCTAGGCATTGTTTTATATTTAGGGATTAAGATTACCTTGCGTATTTTCTCGTAAACTAAGCTGGAAACAGCAATCAGCTGTACACACGTTTTCTTGGAATCGACCGGTGATTCGGTCAAGACACACCCAAAGATATAACTTTATAAGATTTTTAATGCAAGGATCGGCAACAATTGTATCTGAAACTATTTTATTTATCAGGAATAATATATTCCATTATTTTCATAATTATATGCAACCTTTAATAAACATATTTAAAATAATAATAACCCTAAGCGAAGCAGCTGATCGCTATTCCCGGGTATTATTTTTTACATGGAACATGTCTGACCAGTCACCGTCAAGGCTCACGCGCACATGATCACGTGATCGCGAGAATTTCATGTTGACATAGAATCGTCAAACAAAAACAAATATGACTTTTAACGAGTCAAAGTATGTCATTTATGATATATGTATCCATTCTCTGTCAACTAAAGTTTGTTTCAAGGCGTCAATAGCGGTATTCTGACCGTGGTTGCTGTTAATAACGGTGAGTTGTGCGATCTTCCGATCGCTTCACACACGATTTCGCCGAAATTAATAAAAACAATATTATAAGGAATTTTGAATAAAATCAATGACATAAGTTACAAACATAAGTTCAGATATACAAAGAACACTTTTTATAGCCAGACAGTGTAATTACATAATTATTTTGCGTACTTCAGTATGGATTTGTTGACATGGTATTCCCGGTGTTTTGTGCTCACGGTAATGTCTTTCGTTGGGGGAAAAAAACATCCAAACTCATAATTCGTGTATAATGCGCACCCCCTTCTGCAATGCTGTGTTTTTTCGAAAAAAAGTGCGCACTATACTCAAGAAAATACGGTACCTGTTTTTTGTTGATCAGTAGCAATAACAATTTTATTATTATAACCGATCACTTGACCAATCTTAAGTTCCATATTACTCGGAGACATGTATAGTCCCAGCGCATTAACGTAGTCTACTTTGGATTGGGCGTACTGGAATGCATCTTGGTAACAATTTTTATAGAAGATGGTATGTCAACGGGTGAATTAATAGCATCCTCTACGTTTGCAATAAACTGTTTTTGCGCATCGAGCGCCGTCCCAGAACCAATTATTCCCGTTCGTGTTTGCAATTGTGCACCAAGAATTGCCCATACATAGGTTCTTATTGATTCATTAACTCTTACAACTCCTTGGTTAGTAAAATTATTTTCTGTTTTATCATTAAGAAATTCATTCCAAGCATTTCCAGGTGGTTGCTCAACCTTTAGGACGGTGAAAGCACCACCACCCTTAAAGTTCATACGATCGTCTCTCCTTGTTACTTGGAAGAGCAAAGCTCGGAAGAAGCCGACCTCTTTTCAGTAAATCATTGCTGACTTCTTTAACAGAGTGTGCACCAGCGTACGGAATACCTAGACCATGGTTAACTCCACTCAGACGCCAATCTTTACTCATAAAAACATTAAATTCCTGACAAATACGTTCGAATGCCCACCTATTGTACGGATTATTTGAGGAATTCCATGCTCGATCCTGCGGTAATGGGGCACTAATTTCTTTAAGTATACGTCTGATCTGATAGTACACATGAAATGATAAAACAGACTTATTTAATTCAAATCCTGGGGCATAAATAGATACACCACATCCTGTTGTTGCACACCATATGGCAAAGTTTAACTGGTTCTGCCAAAATTGCATTGGATTGTGGAACCAATCGTGCACCATTTTATCGCTAGTTGCAGTGACCCTGTATTTTTCAAAGACATCAGGGAATTCAACAAAAAAATTAGCTACAGAGGCACTTACCGGTACTAAAATCGACTGATTAGTAATGTAAGTTGATTTCATATTTAAGTTATGATATAGTATCTTTGTATATTTAATATATATGTTACACTCCCGGGACTAACAAATGGTCAGTCTACTCAACTGCTTCATACTATCAAAAACTCGACTGGACAACTTGAAGTCGCCCTATGCGATGTAACGTATTACCCGTGGTGGACCAACATAAATGCTGCGAGAAATAATAATTGGTTTTTAATAGGTAACTTTGGTATTGATCACACTTGCATTGTTATACCTAATGGGTATTACAGCGTATGTTCACTCAATGATGAAATTTCTAAGCCTAATGGAATTGGTCTCACACAAAAAGGGTTGAATGGGATGCTGAATTAAGCGCTGGAGAAGAGAATTTACTTCTTGTCGAGATCTTAGCAGAAACACTTGGATTTGATGGCAGAACGGGAACAATACCATCCAACGATATAGTGCATGGAGTTAAATTACCCGATTTAGTTCCCTATAAATAGTTGTGCATCCATCTTGATCAGATCAGTACAACGGATAATATTCAACTCGAAAGTCCTTCAACTCTGCTTAGAGCTATTCCAGTCAAAGATGTGAAATTCAATAGCCGTAGAACGGAATCTTTCTCATCATTGCAATATAAAAAATTAAAGCGGGGTATAATTTCAGATCTCTGTATTAGATTTAAAACATCAACCTGTACATATAGGATACTTGAGTGTAACACTCCATATTATAAATAATGGTTGATTCATTAGGTCCTGGAACGCCATAACCTTAGACAATGTAAAACAATTGCGCTTTCCGATCTTGAGAAGGATTCACATCTGGTAATTATGGAAGACTGTAAAAGCTGTTTAGGGATATCTCTTTAATGTCATAGGATTATTCTGAACAGATATTCATCATTTTTAGAACTATCCATGCTTATATCAAGAAACTGCTGAAAAAATATCTTCCTAATTCTTCCTACATACAACATTGAATTACATACATTACAAGAGACACTGAAACTTAATAGATGCAAGCTCTAATATTCACAGTCTTCACAAAAACTTGTCTGCAGGAGTAGGTTGTCACAACACTCTATACTTCTTGGCTAAATTATTGATGTCTTCCTCTCTGGACGATGATGTCTGCTTTAAGTGAGCAATCAGGTTTGATACAACTGAAAAGAACACAAGGATTTGCTCACAAAAACGTCTCACATGATTAAAAATAGAAGGGGATAGAGTATAGTCTATGACCTAATGGGCCTCTTGCCATGGTCTGATTTTGGGCAATGAACTTTTGAAGAACCCACAGAGTGATCCTACTCAAATGTGGTGCATGAATGAGAAGTTGGTGGCATGGAGCTGCGACACTCTCTCCTGCCACCAATATAGCGGAAATTCTGCTACCATGGAAATAGTCCATTAGAGGCCAAGCAGGAATGTGCAAGCGAACATCCCCTCACAACTCACTGATAGGGTGTCAACATGGAGAGCCTGCAGGTCTGGTACTGGACTGATAAAAACAGGGAGCTTGTGGTTGAGACACATCACAAACAAGTCGATATGGGGAATGTCTCACATCAAGTGATCCACTTGAAAACTTGGGGATGAAAAGACCACTCTGTCGACATGGTCTTGTTCCTCCAGGATAAACAATCGACCAACATGTTCAGTTTCCGGGAATGTGATGTGCTTCCAGTCAGCAGCTGATCGAGTGCCATCAATGTATAGTCTCCTTAAACAAATGTGACTTTGCTCATCAAAATGAGTATGCTACTGCTGTGGTGAAGTACCGACGACCAAACACAACCTGACTGCCCAGGTCATATTGCATGGTAAATCACTAGCATCTCCAGACAGTTGATGTGAAGTGTTTCTCTATATCTGTCCATGTCCTCTGGATTGAAGCATCAGCCATAATCCTGTATCAAGAACATCATATTTCGTTCGTTTGTTGTTTAACGCCGCACTCAGCAATATTCCAGCTATATGATGGTGGTCTGTAAATAATCAAGTCTGGATCAGACAATCAAGTGATAAATATTATGAGCATCGATCCATGCAATTGAGATCGATGACATGCATCAACCAAGTCAATGCGCCGGACCAACAGATCCCATTAGTCGCACCTTTTAGGACAAGCATGGGTTGCTGAAGACCTATACTACCCCGAAGTCTTCACGGGTCGAACGGAGGAGTAGTTGCACAGTATGTGGGAAGAACTGCCATACAATCCCAACCATATATTAGACATTCCATAATGTTTGTTTGTTCAGTTTTACAAAATTTTAATCGAGGACTGTGTCAACATATTTTTTAAGTGTAGTTTTAAGTCGCCAGGTTGAAATGAGTGCCATAAAGCTTGTGAAAGCTTTGCATCCTGAAAATCTGAGCTGTCTGACCAGACCAATGTCCAGTGAGCAGTTGAGATTTCTGACGGACTCCTAGAAAGTCTTTGTTGAGGAGCTTAAGGTTGATGATCATACATATCTCTGATGTGCACTAGGTATATTAAGAATATAAACCTCTGCTGGTATCCGAGTTGGCTCGTGCACGAATGGCTTCCTTCTCTAGTAACGTCTCAATGGCAATGTCTGCAGACGCCAACTTGGTCCCTGTAGGTCTGGATACAAGTCACGGAGGCTCGTCCCTGTCCACAGGCTCACATGAAGAATGAACAATGAAAACCACCTTGACTTGGAAGGAATGAGCATGATAACGAACACAAGGTTCTTGCCGGTCTTTGGGTTTCATGGATGAAAGAGTCGACCCTTTGACGCTTTGTTGATACGTCCCTTGACATAGTTTGTTGTAAGGCAGATATATCACCCTTGATTGCTCACAATGTGTGCGTGCGTGCTGACTCCGGGCCTATCAGTCCTTGTTTTAGCCCCTTAATGCCGAGCGCCAGATAGGGTATAACAACAAGTACCAGTCAAGACCAAAGGCTTCAAGGACATAACACATCCAGTGTTTCCCTCCATACCTAGCTGATTTCCTAGGAACAACTTAGCTTAGACATATTTCAGTGAGGTTAATTAGGTGAATAAATATGTATCCCATTAAATAGTTACTCAGAGGATGATTACCCTATGATAATAAAATCAGTCTATGTCCTCTTATAAAATTCTATATTCCAAACAATTAAAAAAAAATCAGAGATGAAGGTATATGTATATTTGAAGGCCAATGCATTAAAGCCCTCATGAATTATAAGGGATGGAGGTCACCACCTCAGGTTAGGTTGATACATTATATGTCAAGTTTCATGCTTTCATCCACTGTTATGACTTTAAACTTGAGGGAATAGAATACTTGAGCTGACCATAACACACATCTCAAGTACTCAAGCTGAAATTGAGATAATGAAGACACCTTGTACACAGATCATGTGACAGTATCCAAGATGGCTGTGCCAAGGTCAAGAAAAATGTTTATGTTTGCCTTTTCCCTCTGTAATTAAGTACAAAATCATATGCAAAGTTTTTTTGGGGGCCTAGCACATATGTAAAAATGTAAGTTTTTGTATAGGGTGGGGTTAGTTGAAATATACCACTGGTATTAGAAGAAAACATGGTAAAACAAATTCATGTCATAATTATGTCATGTTCATGACAAGTCATTATTTCAGACATTACTTCTTGAATTACAGTATGTTACATATAGGAACTCACGTTGTTTCTCCCTCTCTGACAAAAACAATGCTGTCATTTCAAATCTCTTAACTCTGGTGAGACTCACAAGATGTTCTTCAAAGCTGTCACCTGCACTGAAAAGAAACTTTACATTACTTTGAATCAATGGTTGGTTGTTTTTTTGTTTAACGCCGCACTCAGCATTATTCCAGCTATATGACGGCGGTCTGTAAATAATCGAGTCTGGACCAGACAATCCAGTGATTGATATCATGAGCATCGATCCACACAATTGGTCACGCAAAGTCAGTGAGCCTGACCTTTTTACGGCAAGCATGGGTTGCTGAAGACCTATTCTACCCCGGAATCTTCACGGGTCTCTGAATCAATGAAATGTTTTACATTTATAACTTTTACAGCCCAAATCTTAAAGACATCACAGCTCAAGGCTTGATCGTGTCCACATTGAAACAGCCAAAATCTTAATGATATCATAGCTCAAAGCTTGATCTTGTCCAATGGGATTACCATAATGATTGTACTGTCACTGTTGAAAAGAAAGGTGTTTGTACTACATGAAAAAACAGAAGCAAACCCATCCCCAGCGAAAATATGAGTCAAGAACTTTAACATAATCAGGTGACACCTGACTGCATCAAAGAGTTTCTGTTCCTGTAGTGAAATTGTTCCTTTGCACTATTTTTCTTGGGGCTAATCATATCCCAAAGTTTTTATGAGGAAAATGTTTCCATGATACATTTACACTGGCAATATTTGTTCGAGATGGAACTAAATCAACGTGGAACTCATCATCGCTGACAACTGAACCAGTATATATCTATATTCATCTTTGACCCCTAATGTTGTCTTATGCAGTACAACTTAGCTGTATGCCTCTTGTTCCTTCCATTTTAATGGCATCACTCCCAGTTTGGAAAATCCCATGTCAAAAGCAGTACTTAGAAAATTTGAAACAAAAAATCCTGTGCCTCTATCAACCTCAAAAACAAAGACATTAGCACTAAAGACAGCAGTTTCGGTTACATCTAATGCCAGAAAACCTAAAACCAGAAGTCATCTGCCTCAAGCTACCTCAATCAGGAAGTAATATCCACTTTTTAGTTTAATGACTTTGACCCTCAATTTCAGCCACATTTTTCATTTTCTGTTGAAAGTACATCAATGCATCAAAGAAGCAAAACTATTTAAAGAGGGACCAATAATCTACTCAATACCTCAATGTTACATGGACTTCTCCATACTAAATAAGGAAGCAGATAAGATAGCCCTAACTGGGAGATTATCAGGTGGAAAATAACTGTTTTGTTAAGAAAGGTTCTTGTTCAATACATGAATACATCAGATGTTTTATATTCCACAGTGTATATTCACCCTGAGAATTCAACATGGTATATACTGGATTAGAAAGTAAATGTGGTATTTCCTTTTTTCAAGAAGATGTTCTTCATATACTGTTGGATTTACAAGGTGACGTCATACCCTTTTTCAGTGGAGATTACTATTTGCTTGATCATTTTTGTATAAGGCGATATTCATGTGACACTACTGTTAATAATTTCGGCAAATGTTTGCTGTATTTGTGCTCAGTACTTAAGATTCACATAATGAATTGGAGATGTGGCTCTGACTCAGATGTTGGTGATTTTACATAAGTAAGTCATAATGGGACTAGTGTCATTGATTATGTTATATGTTCGCCACTACTTTTTTTGATTACTGTACTGACTTTACTATTACATCAAGAGCTGAATCATCACATATACCTGTCACTGTCAGTCTACAATCAACAGATGTCACATTTCCTAGAAATTTAGGTGACACACCTAGTAATACAGGTGATTGTTTCAAGTTTGTGTGTGGGATTATGATAAGAACGAGCAATTTCAAGATGCTTTTTACTATGATTGTTTACAAGAATTACTTCACAGATCAATGGAAGTGGTATTAACTGATATTAGAGTGTGCAGTGTTTGGTTGAAGCATCGTGTAATGCTGGTATGTGTATGAGAAGGAAAGTTGGTAAATATGTATTGGAGAAAACACTTTCCCTCGGTTTTGGTAGACAGAGCATGCCCTGGCCAGAGGGAAAAACCAAGGGGGCGAAGACCCCTTGGTTTTTCCCGCCCCCCAGGGCACACTCTGTCTACCAAAACCGAGGGAAAGTGTTTTTCCATACTTATAAACCGAAAAAAGAAACTTAAAACAACATTTATCAACATTTTTATGTTTCGAACATACTTTCCATGAACCTTAGGAAACATGCGTAAAATATCTGTTGATGGCGTACGGACCTTGAAAAGGACATTCTAAAAACCAGTGAGGCTTATCAACACCTCTGTAGCCTCGTGGTACACTCACTGGGCTACAGATATGAAGGTTGCGAGTTCGATCCTCGGGAATATAAAGAAAACATTTGTCATTTGATTTTACATTTCATTACGTTACAATCTGAACGGAAGTTATATTAATAAAATACCCAGGACATTATATAAAATCCCTGGGATATTATAGCAAATATGACTTGAATATCCTATAAAATCCCTGGGATATTATATAAAATCCCAGGGACATTACAACGTCCCTGTTTATGAGATTTAACCCGACTGGAAAGTAAAACCTCACAATAGGTTTTAATGCCTATAGAAAGAAGTCTCTTACTTAATAGCGATCCCAATGAATAGGTTTATAAATGACAGATAAGAAAGGGTTTGATACTGCATGTGAATTCATCAAAAAGGAAAGATGTAGGTACTTAAATATATTTAGAAAAAATAAAGGTGCAGTATCCTTATCAATTTACAACCAGGCTAGAAATAAGAATAATGGTACATGCAGAAGTTAAAAAAGGGAATACAAGGCAAGACAGCAAGAAAGACTAGAAAGTAGTATTTATGATCAAAAATGTTCTGATCTACCGTATTTTCTTGAGTATAGTGCGCACCCATGTATAATGCGCACCCCCCTCTAGCGGGTTCAATATTTTGGAAAAAAAGAAATTTGAATATTATGCGCAGAAATTTTTTACACCGTACCCTTTCAGCGAAGTCCGGCAAACGAACGGGCGCTGAGAAACTTCGTCAGTCCAAATTCGAAATTTGAGATAAAAAATCACCAGACATGTTTATTTACCGTTTAAATAGTATTTATTCTTCTGCTAGGCATTGTTTTATATTTAGGGATTAAGATTACCTTGCGTATTTTCTCGTAAACTAAGCTGGAAACAGCAATCAGCTGTACACACGTTTTCTTGGAATCGACCGGTGATTCGGTCAAGACACACCCAATGATATAACTTTATAAGATTTTTAATGCAAGGATCGGCAACAATTGTATCTGAAACTATTTTATTTATCAGGAATAATATATTCCATTATTTTCTTAATTATATGCAACCTTTAATAAACATATTTAAAATAATAATAACCCTAAGCGAAGCAGCTGATCGCTATTCCCGGGTATTATTTTTTACATGGAACATGTCTGACCAGTCACCGTCAAGGCTCACGCGCACATGATCACGTGATCGCGAGAATTTCATGTTGACATAGAATCGTCAAACAAAAACAAATATGACTTTTAACGAGTCAAAGTATGTCATTTATGATATATGTATCCATTCTCTGTCAACTAAAGTTTGTTTCAAGGCGTCAATAGCGGTATTCTGACCGTGGTTGCTGTTAATAACGGTGAGTTGTGCGATCTTCCGATCGCTTCACACACGATTTCGCCGAAATTTTTTTTTTCTTTTTCTTTTATTGTTTTTAGAAAGACACACCTGTTACATAAATGGGCTTCCGCCCAGGGTAGCAGAAAGCCCATGACATAAAGCACAACTTATCAGTACATCTTACTTTGTTGTTTTTTTTATACAGAAAATAACATACTTCTCACTCACACATTCACTCTTGTTTATATATCATATTGCAGTTTAGGAAAGTACATGGTCTCAAACATTAAAATCTTAAGTACAAAACTAAAATTAAATTGAAAGTTGCTCCTCATTTTCGAAAAGTTGATGATACAGCATCCAAGCACCATAGAATTTCTGTTGATTACCTGTCTTGAAAGCAATATCTTTTTCAATGTTGTATCGTGAAAAAGCTTCCTTTTTATAAACATGAAAATAAGGTTTTGTATTTTGGAATTTGCATCTATAAATATAGTATTTTGCAATTAGTAAAAGTAAATCAAACACTTTATCTGTTTTTATGTTCTCTTTAACTCCAAAAAGTATCAATTCTGCACAAAATGTCATATTATAAACATGAAAGCACTGGTCGATCCACAATGACACTTCATCCCAAAATTGTTTTATTACATCACATTCCCAAAACAAGTGAGTAATTGTTTCCTTTTCATTGTGACAGAAGGAGCACAAATCATTCTGAGCATAATTGAGTAAATACAGAAAAGTATTAGTGGTGAGAATTCTGTGGGTAATTTTGTATTGAAACCATCGCAGTTTGACATCCTGTGTTGTACTGAAAATTTTATTATAAATATTGTTCCAATTTAAGTTTTCAAATTGTAATTCCCACTTTTCCTGCCCTTTAGTTTTTACTTCTGTAGAAACCAATGAAAAATAAATATGTTTTGAACCGGACTTGGAACTACAAATAGTTTTTACCACACAGCGCTGATCCTCCACAGAATCTGTTGGAACTCTAACTAAATTTAGAGCTCCAAGGTATTGTTTAACGCTGCTAACAACACCATAAAACTCCAAATAGGATGAACAAATACCATACATATCATTAAATTCCTCATATGACAGAAACTCCTTATTGGCCTTGACCAAGTCTATAATTTGGGAGATGCCCTTCTCAAACCAGCATTTCAAGAAAAATGATTTCCTGTTAATTTTAATATTAGGGTTATAAAAAATTGGTTCAGTTAAAAAACTACTGAAAGATTCTGGCTTGATTTTCTTATCAAGCACTATAAATGACTGAAAACAACTTTTCCAAAACTCATTACTTATCAAAGATAATTTTCTTTAAAAAAACGTCACACCAAACTCACCAAGTTTACACAAATAAGGATATGTAGATTTAAATAGGTGCTTCCATTTTGGATCACCTGAGGACACAAGTCTCCTTATCCATGTGGCCTT